TTGATATTTTTCCCAAGCCTGGTTCACCAGCCTTTCCTACTGTTTCTGTGAGCTGTATAATAATGTCTTTCCAGAATTCCTGCTCTCTCAAGTTGGACAGAATTGGCTTTTTTGTTTGCATCCAAGAACATTAACTTGTACAGAAATTGGTGTCAGGAGTGGACACAGGCCAAAAATACTCAGGGAGATGGCAGGAGTCTGGGTTTTATGAACTGGTCTAGTTAGAAGCCCCCTTGTTCAAATGCCTATGCTCTCCTGTTCACGTGGCCCACCCCCTTGAGACCTTGGGTGGTCTCTGTTTTGGGGAGCCACCTCCATGGTTGGCAGAGCTACAAACGGAACCCTGGGTTGCTCACAGCCTGTGTTTCTTTACCTGTGACCTCTGGCTAAGCGCCCCTTACCCTGTGACCATTTGCTCTAATGGGCTTCTCCTTTCCCCCGACCCCCCTCTCCCACCCTCAGTGGACAGGGGTCTATCATTGCACCTGTGCCTCTGGGCGGCTGCTGGGTGCCTCCTCGTACAAGACCCTGATGCCACCCCACCTCTGTGGCAGCATCTCTCATCCCCTGGAGACCCCATTCAGTGCTCCTCTGCAGCTCCAAGGACCTGCTGAGCCCAGGTTCCAGCCTGTCACTAGTTCCCCAAGTCCTGCCTGCAGCCCCAGGATCCTCAAGGCAGTCTGAGAGGAGGATTGACCCCTTAGACAGAGTGGTGCAGACACCAGGTGGGTACTCTCATGTGATCATGTAGCCCCGCCCCCTAGTTCACATGCCCATTTCTGCTTGATCACATGGCCCAGCCCCCTTGTTCATGTGCCCACTTCCGCTTGATCAAACCAGTCTGGGAGGGGCCGATGGGTTGACCCCTTACACAGAGGGGTGCAGACACCAGCTGGGCACTCCCCCCTGCTCCCCTCTCCGGCCCCTCAGAAATGCCTTGAGCACCAAGTCTGTGCTGATGTCCAGCTCCTGGAGGGCTCGGCCTATGCAGTGCAGCCACCAGAGGGGACCCATCTGCAGAGTGGCAGGCGGAATAGGCCTCCCAGGGCAGCTGGATGCCCACCTGGCCCCAAAGCCATTCTTCAGCCTCCCACTTACCTCTTCTGAAGGGTAACCAGGTGTGGCTTCCACCCAGCCCAGCTACCTGCCTTTGGAGGCAACAGAGACTGTCACCCTCTGCTGGCCAATTCCTGTTACTGCAGAAAGTAAGAGTCATCCCTGCCGCACAGCCCGTGCCCACCTGAAGCCAGCCCAGCACATCATTCCCATTTCACAGGTCAGAACCAGGTCGCGGCGCTTCCCTCAACGGGGATGGAGCAAAGCAGGATGGGGAATAAGGACGGTCTCTGCAGCTGATGTGTGTGGTCCCCATTTTTTCGAGCCCAGAAGGCTCCAGGGACCTCTGTGCATTTGTAACTAGCTATGTCGCTATATTTCCCTCATGTCCACCTGCCTCGTATCCTGAACACCATAGGCTCAAGTGGGTCCACCTTCCTCTCCTCAGCTCCACACCTCCAGTCTACCCGGGTTCAACGGGCTCCCCTCAAGTTCAGTGCGCCTCTAGCCTCAATTCCCGCTGGGCCCACACCTACTCTCACTATTAAATTAAGATTTATTTCTGTTACTGAATTTAATGTTTTTTATTGACTATATTTTTATTGCTCTTTTGTTTTTCTTTATCATTTCCATTAGCTAGATTAAATTCTCATCTGCTGATTTGAAAGTCATACTTCTCTTTTTATTCTTCTAGAATTTACCCCTGTGGTTTTTAAAGCATGTTAATATTCTCACCTATTCCAGAACAGGGACATTACCTTAGTGTGCCCTCATTTCTCTTTGGACAGGCACTCTCTAACCCCATCCCACTTGGTAGCCAAGTAGATATGTCATATGGAATTGTAGTTCTTGATTTCTTGACTTCATGTTTGCACTTTAAAAAGTTGTTTATTTTGATAATACCCAAATTTATCAGGTTATAAATCCACCCTTACTTCCTATGTATTTGTAACCTCCTCCTGGTCCCCTCCCCCTTTCCACTGGAATATTTCCCCCAAAAGTGTTTTCAAAAAAGGTCTTTTTAGCTTTGGATGCCTGAAGATATCTTTGTTTTGTCCTCACATTTAAATTATAGTTTACTTGGATATAGCATTCTAGGTTTAAATGTTTTCTTTGACACTTAGACTATTTCTTCATTATCTTCCTGGTTAGAAATGCTGCTGAGAATTCTGAAATTAACCTGATTCCTTTATAAGTAGTCTTGTCTTTCTCTCTGAAACTTATAAAATTTGCTATATTAAAATTGTGGTTATATTTCTTTGTATGTGTTCATGTGTGACATTCATTCATTTATTCATTCATTCTATTGACACTTTATCAGCCTTCAAACTAGGATTTTTTTTTCCTTGCAGCCCCATGGCCCCACTGGCTCAAGCATAGACTATAGGGACTTGGGACAAATCCAGGTTATAGTCCCCTAGTCCAGTGATGGCGAGCCTATGACATGCGAACTCATTTTTTTGGTTGATTTTTCTTTGTTAAATGGCATTTAAATATCCTACATAATAAAAGCCTAATATGCAAATCAAATGAACGGCAGAACAACCAGTCACTATGACATACATTGACCACCAGGGGGCAGACACTTAATGCAGGAGCTGCCCCTAGCCCACAGGCCCAAACCGGTGGTGGCAGTTGGGGGTGGGGCTGGCGAGCAGACAGCACCAAGCCAGCCAAGGTGGTGGCCCTCCCCCGCCCCCCCGATCGCCCTGCCGGTTGTCCCACAGGGAGGCAACTGGTGGTGGCAGGGGAGTGGGCCAGCAAGCAAGCGGTGCCATGCCAGCCAAGGTAGGTGCCAGCGGGGGTCCCCGATCACCCTGCCAGTCGCCCCGCAGATCGGCCCTGATCTCCAGCCAGGCCTAGGGACCATACCTATGCAAGAATTTCGTGCACCAGGCCTCTAGTATAAAATAAATATCAAAAATATAAATCTTTGTTTTACTATGGTTGCAAATATCAAAAAATTTCTATATGTGACATGGCACCAAAGTTAAGTTAGGGTTTTTCAAAATGCTGACACGCCAAGCTCTAAAGGTTCGCCATCACTGATGTAGACTAATCCATTGCAAGGATACAATTCAGAGAATTTTTTAGTAAAAGTGTTCAGCAGGGCAACCATTGCCATATTTCAGTTTTAGATATTTCCATTACCCCTAAAAGTTCCTCTGCCCATTTACAGTTCACCCTGCTTCCACCTCCAGCTCTAGGCAACCACTGATTTGAATTTTCTCCTTATAAACTTGCTTTTTCTAAACATTTAAGCATGTACTCTTTGATTACTAAATAATATTCCATTTTATGCATATCATTGGCTGCTTTTTATTTACCAAGCATAGAAAAGATTCTAGTTGCATTATCTTAATGTGCTTATTCCTCTGAAACTATCCTATTAAATACATTGATATATTTTGTAGTTATTTGTATTACTTACAAATTTAATCTCTTTTTGGTTCTCTTGTATTCTTCTGGCAAACAAACCTTGCAGCACATCTGGGATACCCCAATTGTGTAGGTAAATTATAGCAATATAGAGCATAGCCAGCAGATGGAGACAGAGAACACCAAATATTCAGACTCGGGTTTTTACCTATGCCTTTTCTCAGCCTCAGGAGCTGTGGCACCTGGATATCAGGTTTCATTCATTATAACATTGGTTCTCAAACCTGACTGTGCGTTGTAATTACCTGTGCAACTTTAAAAAAATACAGATTCTGAGTTTAGTGGTCTGGGATGCAGTCTTGCCATTGAGACATCTAAATCTGCACAAGTGCTTGTAATTACAGCAAAGTTTGAGACCCACTACTTTAGAACGGGGAACAGTGGGTCTTGAGTTGGAGAACTTGTGAAAAACAGAGACCCTAACTGTTGTAGTTTTCATCCTTTTGAGAATGTGTGCATGCTGAAATGGCCAGGCATTAAGCTTAAGATAGTTAAATATGTAATCAGGACTAAATCTGACACAGTCTCATGTTAGATTCTAATGCATCAGAGTAACTTTAGGCATCAACTATTTAGGAAAATTTTATAGGAGAAAAATTTCAATTAATAAAATGCTATTATCATTATTTTTATTATGATCCTTATTGTATCAACTCACCACACTGTATTACAACTGCCTGTTTACGTGGCTGTCTCCCTACCAGACCGTGAGAGTTAGCATCGAGTCTTATTAACCTTCCTATCTCCCCCATCTAGCACTGGCCAGACAGGCAGCAGGCTCTCAACAAGTGTATGTTGAATTAATAGTGAAGGTATTAAATATCCCCATTTTATAGATGAGCAAAATGAGGCCTATAAGGAAATAATGACTTGTTCCAGGTGACACTGCTGGCCAAGGGCAGAGCAGGAATTGAATTCAGGTCTTGGACTCCTTTCTCCAGTGCTCTTCCCTCTATACTGGTGCGATCATCAGTCTGTCGAGGCCAGATATAGAAGTCAAAATACAAAGAGGAGTTCTTTTCCTGTTTGTTTGTTTGTTGTTGTTGCTGCTGTGTTTGACTCTGGTTTTCCCAACTATGGCTTTCCTGATAATTGAGGGCCTGAGGGGAAGATTTCACACAAGCCTTGCTCTCAGGTGGGATAACTGTGACATCAGCGCTGACAGCAGCCTTCAGGATCATCCAGTCCACCCCACCCCTTTACCTCAAGGCAGCGGTTCTCAACCTGTGGGTCGCGAACAATGAAAATACATCCTGCATATCAGATATTTACATGACGATTCATAACAGTAGCAAAATTACAGCTATGAAGTAGCAACAAAAATAATTTTATGGTTGGGGGTCACCACAACATGAGGACTGTATTAAAGGGCCACGGCATTAGGAAGGTTGAGAACCACTGCCTCAAGGGAGACCAAGAGTCCTAGAGGGGGAGTGAGTCAACCACAGTCACATGCTACCAGCAGAGTGGACTCCCTTTACAGTGCTCTTTTTATTCACAGGAGGTAAAGTGGCCTCAGCGTGGGCAGAGCAGCAGAGAGGAGCCAGTTACTCAGAGGGCAGATGCTCCATGGAAGCCTCCAGCACAAGCAGTCAACCCCTAAAGCCTCCAACAGGTACCCCAAGAAATATTGTGACTCATGCTGGGAGGGGAAAGAGAGGAAAGCTCAGCAGGCAGAGGACATGTAGTCTGGGCCCCGCCCAGAGGGACCTTTTATAGTTTATGCTCTTTGCCAACTGCTGACGTGCCGTGCTCTTTATAGCTTTTCTAAGAGGAGGGTATTACCTTCCCAAGCCTGGAGGTTCATAGCTACGGAAGGGACATGGGATGTTTCATCCCACTTGTGCCCTTTGAATGTGAATTCATATGACTTATCTTTGGGTTATTGCACTTGCCTGGAGCTACAGCAGGACTGTCCCACCAGGTCCACTCTTTTCTGCCAACACATGCTGGCACCCAGGGCACAGCTAGAGAAGTGAAACTCATAGGCCTCTGAGATGGGGAAATACAATTCGATGTCACCGCGGTATGGAAGTGCGTGTGAAACTCACTGGTCCAGGTAGGGGTGGGGAGCAGGGCCTGCTGGCTGCTCCCAGGGTTTCTGTTGGGACTCGGGAGAGAATAGTGGGCAGTTGGTAGGACTGCCCGCCCCTACATAGACCAGCAAACTTTCACTCTTCATGCCTTCATGCCTTCATTCATCATCCTTCACACAAAACACAACAAATACCACCTACACTGTGTCAGGCAACTACATGTTGAGAATAGTATACTGGCCCTGGCCTTGAGGAGCTCACAAATGACCTTTAGTTTTATCTGACTTTTAAAAATAAATCATGAGCTGCTGATTGTGCTTATTTCTGGGGTTCTGCAAAGAAGTGATTGCTGTCGTTTCCCTGGGCAAACTGCAGTGTGCGTGCCTGTGTGTGCGCGCGTGCGTGTGTGTGTGTGTGTGTGTGTGTGTGTGTGTGTGTAAGGACTCAGCCACTGCACAGCTCAGGCGCTACCTCCTCCAGGAAGCCTTCCTTAACCTGTCCTGCGTCCTGTCCAAGTGTGTTCTTTGGAACATCAATCCCATGAGATGTGTGAGAAAGGGTTTCATTGTCCAGTGAGTTTGGCAGATGCTGAATGTCACCTCCCCACCTTGGGGATTTTCGAATAACATTGGACTAAGCAAACAGAACACTGTAGAAGAATCCCTTTAACTTTGATTAACACAGCCTTTCCAAGCAACAGAATTCTTTTCTCAAGGAACACATACTGGCATCCTGTGGCGCGTGTTCTGTGTAACTCGCTGTGTAGGCTGTTGGAGAGGATTACATGAGATGCTAAACACATGACTCCCAGCACAGCTCCCAGCACGCGCGTCGCGGACACCCAGCACATGAGTGCCTTTTGCACTTCTTCCCTAAAGTCAGCACTGTTTATTCAAACCTTTCCTAGCTCGGCTACAAAAAAAGCATTTTAGACTGTCGGGACAAGAAATTTTCCAGAAAACTACTGTTGATCCCTTTCCATGAAAGGAGGATCACATAAGGTGGGATTAAAGAAGTGTGTACTTTGGAAGCTGAAATGTGGCCCTGGCAAGCCTAGATAAGAGAACACTCGCTCTTGGATTACTGGGCAGTGACTGGTCACACCTGCTCGAGCAGGAGGCAATGAAGTGGGGTGACGCCCAAAGTGGTGGATCAGCCCCACCTTGCACACGCAAACCAGAGTGGGTCCCATCACTTGGGTTCAGATCTGAGCACCTCTTGGTCTGATCCTTTGGAAAAAATCTGGCAGTGATATCCCAAAAGCCTTAAAAATCTTTCCACCTAGGAATGCCGTTCTGGAATTACAGTAAGGAAACTATGCAACGTGCAGACAAAGCTATGTGCATGAGGATATTCATCACAACATTTTAAAGGACAAGACTGGGAACAACCGATGTCTAACAGGGAATGGTTCAATCCACAATGGGGCTTCTCTCTTAAATACCTTACTGCTGTTTAAAATAAAGTTTATAAAGAGTTTGAGTGATATGGGGACATGCTTAGGCTGTAATGTTAAGGAAATAAAATGGGCTTAAGAATAAAAATACACATTATAATAATAGCTATGTTGGTGTGCTGAGGAAGAAAAATTTACCAATGTATTAGGAGTGGTTATTTATTAGTAGAGAAGCAATGAGTGATTTTTCTTTCTATTCTATATATTTTTCTATATTTTCTCCTCTTGTCCTATATGTCTTTCTGTATTTCCAAGTTTTATACAATCATGATCAGGAAAAGGTAATCATTTGTTTTAAAAAGAAAAAAAAAATTGGAAACCGAGTTACCAGTAGATCTAAGTAGCATTACAGGCACTATTGCGGTGCCCAGAGAAACCTCCCCTCTCTGAACAATGCCAGTTTGTGTTGGGGAATCCACCCACCAGTGCTTCCCGAACCCCAGGAACCATGTGCCCTGTATTGTCACATCTGTGTAGAACGAACACTATTACTTAATATTTGTATAGAAACTAACTCAGTTTTTTAAACTTAAGTACATATATTTTAAGGTAACGTTTTAACTACTCTAAGTGGAAAAAGTAATACCACTTTTCATCAATGGAAAGTAACCACAAAAAATAAATGCAGTATAGCAAATCAATATTATCCAATTCTAGACAGGTGACGCTCCTGAGTTAAACCCTATTTTCTCTCTGTTTAATAAAAAGTGGGGGCTGGGAGACTGTTGTCAGGGAGGAAGGGACAGATTACCAAAGTTGTGAGATTAACAAATTCCAGCACAGCAAGACTCCTTAAATGAATCAGAAAGATTGAAAGGTAATTGAAAATTATTTTCTGATTAGACATTTTTAAAAATGATTTGCCTATGTAGCCCCCAAACTGCCTACCATACCACACCCTGGGGGCAAGTGCCATGCAGTATGCCTAGCGCCTGTGGGTCTCCCACAGGCTGTGGTCACTTGCCCAGCTGGTTTCAAACTCAAGGACAGGTGTTTCATCGCCAGCCTCTTTCCTTCCCTTGTACAATTCCACAGTCTCGCCTTTGTTTCCATGCAGTATTCCTCATGCCTTTGTCATTTATTTGCAAAGCATGTTCCAGGGCTTGTAAAACCATAAACTTGCTGATGCTGCGCCAGTTCTGATCCAAAACAGGCCAGGCATGTTCCAAATGGCAAAAAAAGGGGCCACCAGTGCTGGGAAGTGGTGGAAGCCAGGTAAAGGCTTAGTGACCTTGAACTCACTCTTTATACAGATGAAGAAACTAAGACCTGAGAGGAGGGAGGGTTAGACTCTAGGTCCCCCAATCCCAGTTCAATGCCACCTCTCCCTTACACTCCACCTGAAGTTTGCTCAGAATCAAAGTCACTGTTTGGCTTTTAGTGTGAGAGCTTTGCCTACTTTGGAACCAGAAAGTAAAATCAGAGACCAATGAAGAAGAGAAGGGGTCCTCCTGCAGGTGTTTCTCTTCAAGTCCGACCTCATTTTTCTCTTTCCTAATTGACACCTAGCTGGGGGCTTGCTTGGCTCAAGAATGAATCACGCACACACACAAAAAATAAATCACAGATCTGTGAACTTCAGGAGAAGGGAGGGACTCATATGACTCATTCAACCAACGTCCAGGAGAGACTCTCCATCCACCACTGTACCTGGCACTGCCGCCTCATTTAATAGAGGACAAGAAGTCCCAGAGAGGAAGTGTGACTCACTTAGGATGGCCCAGCTAGTAAGCAGCTGTGCTGGGACTTGGATATGAGTCTCTGGGTCCAAAGCCAGTGCTCATCTCAACAAAAAAAGTTTTAAAGATAAAATTCATTTTCAAACTTGGGCAAGCATCAATGGAACCGTAATTAAAATTCATTTATTTAATCCATTCATTCAACAAATACTGATCGAGTGGGATATGCCCATATATATTGACAAGCGATGCATGGTATGACCACCTGGTAGCATTAAAGAGCTGCGTGAGGTCTGAGGCTTTGAATTTAAAATATTTTTTTATTGATTTCAGAGAAGAAGAGAGAGGGAGAGAGAGATAGAAACATCAATGATTAGAGAGAATCATTGATCGACTGCCTTCTGCACGCCCCCTACTGGGGATTGAGCCCGCAACCCGGGCATGTGCCCTTGACCGGAATCGAACCTGGGACCCTTCAATCCACAGGCTAGTGTTGAGGTTTTGAATTTAAAGTGTGAGCCACCAGCATGGTTGTGCATTTTTCTCCAACCTTATGCAGCTACACAGGGTCAGGCACCAAGTAAGTGGAAAGTTAGATCTAACCCGGTTGCGGTTTTGCCAAAGGAATATGATGAAGTGAAGAGGGAGAGTTGAGAGTATGCAAGAAAGTGATCAAGATCATAGGATTTAAAATGATTTTTATTTTAAAACTTCACAAAATGAAAGTTGAAACCAGGCTGTGATGCCTGTTCAGGTTGAAATGATAATATTGTCATCTTTGTACCGAAGCTGTCTTAAGAGTGTTTGCCTGGGGTGGGTCAGCTTGTAGGCGCAGGAGGTTCTCCTTGATTTACATTGCTGTTGGAGCCAGTGCTCGACCTGAGGGCCTCAGGACATTCCTTCCTCCGGAAGGAGCCTTTTGAGACAAATCTCAGGGTCAGTCCAAAGCTCAGGAGCTGCAACTCAACTTGTAAAGCCCTTTTATAGCATTACTTGCGTAAGTAAATAGTTGGCTTCCTATTTCAGGAAGGGACGTATTTGTTCTCAAGGCTGCCTTGTGTCCTGGGCACCCACTGGGGTCCTGGAAAGCAGCCACTCCTCTCCTGACATTGTTTTAAAATAGCCAGGGCGATTTGGACTCTTCAACCACAAAATGCAAGAGTACACCGAATTCAGCTGAAATGTAAGCCGCACTGCTTCCACTCTCAGTTTGGTCGTCTGTCCATCCCCTAACTTCTCATAGCACTTCCTGGGAATCTGGCCTCCTTGCCATGCATTGTAGGGGCCCATGCATGATACGCATTACTTGGTTTTCATTGATGTCAGCAGTGATAATGATTAAGTGCAAACACCCCACCCCATTCACATGTCTCCTTTTTTCCTGCAGATCCCCATGTGAGTGAAAGTGTGAATGCCTTCCAGAATTTCTCCCAGAACTTGTACCTAGAGTTCAGGTGAAGTGAAAGGGTAGAAAGTAAATTCTTTTGTTGTTGTTGTTGTTAATACTCACCCGAGGATCTTTTTCCATTGATTTTTAGGGAGTGGAAGGGAGGAGAGAGACACACAGAGAGAAACATAGAGGTGAGACTCTCTCTCACCTCTGAGCCCTGACCAGGGCCGGGGATCAAGCCTGTAACTGAGATACGTGCCAGTGACTGGAATCAAACGCAGGACCCTTCAGTCCGAGGGCCAACATTCTATCCACCGAGCCAAACTGGCCAGGAGGAAAGTAAGTCCTTTGGACATGAATCACACCACCACCCTTCCCGCACTTCATATATCGACCTCTACCCTACTTAGATGCGGCAGTCCTTGGAAAAACCCAGAACAGAAACTTCCCTGCCAAGTGAAGGTATAAGAAAAGCAGAAGTATATGCATATATTAAAAATGTGTCAAGATGTACACTTCAAATGTGTACTCTTCACTGTAGGTATATTATAATTCAATAGAAATTTTTTAAATAAAGCAAATTCTAGATTATGTTCTAACCAGCATAGGATTTAGGGGTGGGAGCCAGCAAGAATGCATAGGTTACCCACGTTCAGATCCCAATGTTCTTGGTTGCCTTTGACAAGAGGACATCAAAATAGTGATGAGTGATTGCCTATTGTTGTTTCCAAAAGAGAACAATACAAGGTAAGGCACCCCACCCCCTACTCTTGCCCTCACATTCTCAATCCCTACAAGAGATTTAAACAAGAAAAACCCAGGAAATTCCAAGTGTGAATACCTCCCCAGATAAGACAGAAATGGAAGAAAACCAAACTTTTCAAAGTAAGCATTTTGGTCTTCATGCAAACATGGAGTTAATCTCGGGACAGCTAAGCACAATTACACAGATGGATTCATTGTGTGAAATGGTCATTGAGCGTTGAGAATGTTAGTGCCAGTTCAGAGTCCAGGCTCTGCAGGGGTCATACCTGAATCTGCTGAGTTGAGCACATGGAAACCTCAGTGTGCATTCAGGCTTGACCATTGTTTTTTCATTTATTTCAGAGTTTCTCACTGGAGTGGCTTCAGGAAATGCAAATCGAATGTCTGTAGTGGTATTTAAAGACATGAAGGGTTTCGATGTGTGTTAAACTGAAAATATGAATAAATGTCTTTGGGGATGTATTTACATGTACTAATATTGTTATTAAGATAATGGTATAATTTTTATAATTCTTTGCCCTTCAAATCAGCTTCTATTCGTACAGAAAGAATACAAGCATTAGACTGGGGACCATGGCAACCAGGTTCTAGCTGCCATTCCATCTCAAATTCTCTGGGAGTCCGCAGTTCCTTCCTTCTTTGGCTCTGGGCCTCCACATTGTAAACTGAGGAGTCTGGACCACGTGGCCCAGCTCTCTAGTTCTGAGGCTGCAACTCAGTGGAGTTTGGAAACACCACTTCCCTTCCAGGATTTTATTGTAAGCAAATGGGAGATGTTTTTACCGTGTAAAATGCATAGGGCTCTACAGTTGGTTTGGCCTACCAAACCCACAAATGTAGGGCCACAGTTGGAGAGAACTCAAGTCTTTGTTTGAAATAGCTGTCCCTGTTCCAACCGAGAGAAATATTTAAACTCATCAAGTATCATTGGCCATGGTGAATGTGTGAAATGCAACACCATACAGAGAAATCTCTCCGTGTTTACAACCATAACATATTTGCACTGAAAGAGTCCTAAGCGAACATGCAGGCCCAGAGAGGTCAAGCAACCTGCCCAAGATCACACAGGCAGTAGGAGGGAATGGAGACCAACATGTAGGTCTTCTCACTCCTAGCCTGGTCAGAACTGCTACATGTGCCCTTCAGAGTTAGAAAAGCTCATCTTTTGGACTTGTCTGTCCATATTTGCCTGTACCCTTTTCAGGAAATAGAAATGTTGAATTTTATTTTTTAGAGTTGGATCTTATTGAAGTTTACTAGAGAAATAACAACTGATGAAACACTCACAGTCGCCTAATCTCTA